ATCTAGTTTATCTTTTTTCCCTTTATTATGAAGATTCTCCCCAGCTGAAGAGTCTATTCTTCCCTTTCTATTGCACTACTCTTCTAACTGGCCTTTCTTCTTCTAGGCTTGAACTCCTTCAGTCCAGTGTTCAAATGTATCCAGAGTCATCCTTATGAAGCAAGCATACATTCATTGAGGTCACTCTGCAGCTTAAGGGTTGACTCTAATTTCCCACTCCCTGCAGGATACATTTCAAATTCGTCAGCATGGCTCAGGGTCCACTGTGATCTGATGCACACTTCCTTTCCAGTCCTCTCTAAACTTGTACTTCCTCCCTTTCTGCCTCACTTTGTACCCAATACTTTACAGATGTGATGAGTTACTTGATGTCCATGCATTCACACTTTTTCCTTTTTCAACCAAGCACTCTACCTAGAATGACAATCCTGACTGTTTACTTAGCCCATGTTTCAAAGCACTGTTCAGGTGCCATTACTTCTTTGAAATCTTTTTTAACCCAAGTCCCTCCTTGGAGTCTGGATGTCTTTCTGAGGAGGGGTAACACCTTACTGCTCTGATTGATGCCTTAAAAGTATATCAACCTGGTAGAAATTGTATGTTGTCTCTCTTTGTCTCTATAAATCTTCTCTTCAATCTCTTTAGAGAAATTGGAAAACGAAACTATACTTAGACACCTTAGCATCCAAAACTGTGGATGTGAAAAAGATTGTTTATTTATTTATTTACTTTTATTTTGCTGTTACCACCAGGACATGAGATGTGAGTGTGTAGAGGCAATGGGTACCTCAGTATTCCTATATACAGGAGTCCTTCTTGTGGGTAAATGGATGCATCAGCAGATTACTGCCCTCTGTTCTGCAACTTCATGGTGTGAGGCTGAATTCAATTGTTCAGTGGTGGACTCCTGATTTCAGCCCTCTATATTTTCCAGGGGGTTGGGAAATATCTATTTCCCTGTATTACTTTCCTTTGTGTCTGGTGTACCTGGAATGACTTCTATTTCTTATGTTGAAACCTCATACAGTTTGTCTCTATAAACTGTAATGTCTTGGAGGCAGAAATAAGATGTTTTATTTTTGGAACTTATCATAGAGCTGGCTTTCACAAAATAAATGACTGCTTCACTGGATGAGCCAATAATGGCTCCAAATTATATATCACACTAAACGCAAACTTCCTCTTGACACTCTAGCTCCTCTTTAATGCTCTCCTTCCTTGTCTGGCCAACCTTGTCTCTTCCTGTGCTTCAGTCTAATGACTCTAGCCAAATATTCTGTACACATATATATCTTGCTCCTTCCCCTCTCTCTTTCTTCCATTGGCTGCTCCAGTCTGCACTGTCTCCTTCCTCCTAACTTACATTTACTATCTCTGGCAACAAAAGACTTATTAATCATAGTTCAAAATAAATAATCTGCTGATGTTCAATGATGGAAAGAAAGTATGTTTCAGCTACTTTCTGGCATTATGGTTTGTCTCTTTCTATTGGTTAGGAATAGTTTTGACTACCCATAAAAGAAACCCTAATTATAGGGTTCATTTTAATTTTTGTTTTACAACTAAAAATGTGGAGGTGAGTGACTGCTGGCTTTGGTTTAGTACTTGAAGAATGCTTGGGACAGCTTCATGTGATTCTCTTGATTTTTCCCTCCTGGATGCAAATGACAACCCTGAATCCAGGTATTATACCTGCATTCAAGACAGAGATAAGAAAGAAGAGAGATAGGGCTAGCCATGCCTGTGTCTTTTATCAGGAGAGCAAAAACCTTCCTAGAAACTACTCAGCACACATCTGCTTCTATCGTATTTATGAGGATGAGCCAGGTGGCCACACCTTGCTACAGCAGATTCCAGAAAAGCAAGTTTTCCTAGATGTTGAAAGTAGAAAGAAGGAAGTTGGGAAAATGGCGAGTGGGTTAGTTAAACTAAAGTGACTATTGTATTATCTAACTCATTTAACCCATCATTATTCCTTGTACAAGTTCTAGGCCTCATATATTCCATGGTTCCTGGAGGTGCTACCACCATGCTGTGTACTGGTGTATAAAGGTTACCAGTTATATGGACAATCGAGAATCAATGTAATGAAATCTCCACCATTGTCTAAAGCGGAGTAGATAGGAAGAGATGAAAACACACTATCCAAGTTCAGTCTTGCACAAAAGCAACAAAATGAACAAAAAAGGCATGAGTTTCTTTGACAAGCATTTCACTATTATCAGGTGAGGGTCACTGTCCTCTTTCAACATCATCACCTTAATAACATTTGCTTTCTGTTTATTATAATATGCCCATGCCAATTCTTTAAAAAATATATTTTTATTTTTAAATTACATTCTTCACTTGATATTATTTTGTATTAATTTCAGAGGTACATCACAATGGTGAGACAATGATACACTTCACAAAGTGCTCCCCCTGATATTTTCAGTACCCACTTGGCACCATACATAGTTATTATGATATTCCCAGGGTCAATTCTTAATTATAGCTTTTTAGGAAACAGCATACCATTTGCATGGTTAGTCAGTACAAGCATATGTTTTTACATGTATAACCTTTGTCTTGAGCTTAAATACGTTTGTGAAGAGGAATAAAATGTTGGTTCATACAACACTGATGAAATAAAATGGGGAACATGTAGTTTGAAAGATTTGAGCCATCCTTTGTGATAAGTACATGAGTGTCACAAAGCTGAAATGTTTAGTCAGAGAGAGTTCTGTCTCTTACCCCAAATACACTACCCTTAAAGACCAGGATTAGCCTTAAGATGAGCAGATGAGGTTCTCATTTTAAATTTCTCCTCTCTACTGTTCCTCTAGTATTTTTATCACGAAATCATGTTAAAATGAATCTTAAAGCAGGATTGATGGAGGTGGCTAAGACAAGGAATCCAAAACAAACTCTGAAGAGGAACCAGATTTCTCTTTATGGCTGGAGGGTGGCTAAGCAGAGTTGAAATGGGGAAGGAGAAAAAGCTTTGATGAACTGTGCACATTGACTCCCAGGCTTCTTTTTAAGTACCATCTGACAGATGCCCACTTGTGCGGGTTGTCCAGGTCAACCTGTGCTGCCTAGGGCTTTGGGGCTGGCCACTGACTGTAGAAGGGCTCTGTGCAGATTATCAGAAGCAGTGCTTCTGCGTTAATCACACCCTGCCTTCTGGTAGAAAGTGGATATTACAGCCTTTACTAATTACAGGCTAGTGGTGCTGGTGCCCTCCCAACAGTAAACTGCTTTGAGACAGCAGCTGGAAATTAGGGTAGTAAAGTAAATTCAGAAGAGGCTCATCAGGCTGTTCTTGCCCATTAAGTGAAAATAAAATATCATATTTGTGAAGTTCTATGGAAGGAAAAAATTGAAAGGATAGCTCAAGTTGCTTAGTAAAGAGAATTTTGCTATCAAAACACCACCACATCAGCCACAGTTAAAACAAAAATGCAATGAGGAAAATAACTTGAAATGTTTATGTTTACTTCAAGTTTTCAAATTAGAGTATCATGTTCTTTTGGGCTGTCAAAATCTCTCTTTCTCCCCTCATTCTTATAAACGCAGTAGCTGATAAACTCTTTTCTTTAGAAGTAGAATGACTATGCCAAAAATAACATTTTTATTTTCTCAGAGCTTCATTGCTTGTATAATTCCTAGAAATCACAAGCACATCTAGTTCAAGTTCTTTATTCCATAGACACTCATATCTGATTTTAGAACTATCATGTAAAATGTCTGTTGAGTACCATTGAACTACCTTAGTTTATAAGTCATTTAACCCTACATTAAATGAGTGTGAACACTTCTTAGAGATCAACCAGGCCAACTAATTTCTCATTTTGACCAGAACTTTTCCATACAGCATCTTTGACAAATCTTTCCTTTCAGCTCGGGTATTGGTGACTTGGTACTCAGTTTTGTGAGTAACACCATTTGAACATCACCCAACCTTCCACTCACCTAGTTCCATTTTTTAGAATATACAAAATGTTTATTACATGAGCTTGGCCTGCACATCAAATAGTTGAATGTCAGATGATGGGTGAAGGAAGTTCACACTGAACCCAAGTCTCCACATTACTGCAAAGTAAAAATTTTGTCCTGACTGCTTTTATTCCTTCCTTCTTTTCTCTCTCCAGCTTATCTCTTTCCTTCCTTCTTTCCTTCAGTTGGAGAAAACATGATGAAATCAAGAGGCACAGGAACACAAAACTCCTCCATCTCTGGTGCTGTGTAACAAACTGCCCAAGTAAAATGGAACTACCCATTTTCCTTCCTTATGCTTCCCGACCTTGCCATACAGATTCTTTTTAATTTTTTAAAAATTTAACAATTACAGTTGACATACAATATTACATTAGTTTCAGGTGTATAACATAGTGATTCAACATTTGTATAATTTACAAAGTGATCACCCCATAAAGTCTACTAGCTATGTGACCCCATAAGTAGGTATTATAATATTATTGACTATATTGTCTATGCTGTATTTTACATCCCTGTGACTAGTTTTGTAACTGCTAATTTGTATTTCTTAATCCCTTCCCCTTTCACCCCTCCCCACCTCCTTTGCCATCTGGAAACCATTAGTTTGTTCTTTGAATCTATGAGTTTATTCCTGCTCCCCAACCCTGATTTGTCACATTCTGTGTGTGTGTGTGTGTGTGTAATCATTTCTGATCAAATTCTAATCTCAACCTTGAGCTCCATTTCCCTGTTGGGGAATGAGAGGGTAACAACACAAATCTCAATTCTGAAAGAGGAGCTTGGCTCAGATGTCTCATTTGCCCAAAAGGTGGATCCAAGACCAGCAACAACTTGGACCTTGCCAGACATCAGCCTACAGCACACAGTGAGCTTCTACTCTGGCCGCCAGGGGTAGCATGAGCTTGCCCAGCAAGTTTCCGGAAGAGGGCGTGGGCGTGGGCGTGGGCGTGGGCGTGGGCGAACAGCTACAGGGCTAGACGTTCCTATCTTTTTGGGCTGTGCTGGTGGCGTTGGAGGACATGGGTGACAAGTATGCTAGTCTGCGGCGGGCCGAGCTGCATCTGGATTTCATCCATGCCAACTCGTGAGTGACTTGGGAGAGGCTGAACAGGGGAGGGTCTCACTGTGAAAAGTTCGGTGTATCTAGAGAGAGAGCTGATTTGAAAAAAAAAAAAAAAAGCGAACTTGGTATCATTGACTTACGGAAATTATGTATTTATTTAAAATTGTTTATGTTTTAGAAAATGATAAAAGTGATAAAGAAACGTATTCAGGGCTAGACTAACCTCCCCCTTTCCCCCCATTAACACTAAGTGGTAGGGATATCTAATATTGAACAAAACTATGTCTTGTAGGCCAGCAGAACCCTCATTCCACCCAAGTTGCCTGTCTCTAGTGATTTCCCTGCCCAATGTACTGACATTTTAGAGATGAGAGTTGCTTCTAGAGGACAATTTGTAGTTATTGATTCCAGCCTCTGTGGCCTTCAGAGGCCTTCCAAAAATGTAACCTTCCTGAGGATAGAATTCTCACATTTTAGTTATTACAGAGGCACTCTCACTTCTGTGTCAGGTCTGGTTACCTTTTGGCTGCTGATGAGGAGTTATTTCAGATACTCAGATCGCTGAGGAAGATGACAGAAGTTTTCTCATCCATCTGTAGTTTCCAACACAGCAGCACATAGAAGCTAGTGCTGGGTAATTCGCAGTGGTATGTTTTTTTTTTGGAGGGGGGGGTATCTTTTAGTAATTTGGATTTACTAAAAGTACTGATACAAGCCAGCGATTTTTAACCTTTCTCATCTCATGGCACACCTAACCTGGTTATTAAAATTCTGCAGTACACCAAAAAATGCATATTTGTTGCCAATCTGACAAAACATCAGTATAATTTTAATTCATTCATGGTGGATGGCTATTGTTGTGTGGGCCATTATCATTTTTTAATTTGACAGTCTGAGGGAAAAGAGGTCAGTGTCCCTGACTAAATAGTCAGGTAGTGTATATTTTAAAAGGTGTTGTGGAACACTGGTTGAAAATTGCTCATATAAGGGATGCAAAAGATTGGAAACTATAGAAAAGTGTAGAGAAAACCAGGAAAGCTGGCCTTGCTGTGTGGGACAGTGCAATTTTTACAGAAAATAGAGTAAAATAGGCAATATTCAGCAGATTTAATTTTTATTTCTCTGTTGTGGAGAATAATTCAAGCTCGAAGGAATGGGACAGATAAGTAAGAGTTAACAGAGGTGAAAGACCAGTGAAGAAATAGCAATTTTGAGTTCAGTTTTAGAAACATTTTAAGCTGAGTGCTGGAAGGACTGTGAACTTTATCTTGGGAAGGAAGGTTGCACAGCCTCAGTTTCGTTGAGTTTCTGCAAGCCTTACTGCCTTGCAGCCTCCTCCTCCCCCAAACCTCTCCATTGTCAGTTGGTTTGATAACTAAATAAGGAAAGCAACAGCAACATGAGAACTGAGAACTGAGCGACTGAGAACTGAAATGGGGCTAGAACAAAATCGGATAGGAATTGGCATCTTTTCACCTTCCCTAGCTAGTAAAAACAGAAGTGCTTTTTATTTTTCCCTTGCTTCACCCCCCACCCATCCCCTCACGAACCAATCCATCATCATCAAGTCCTCCTCATGCTCTAACTAGTTCTCAAATTCATCTGTTCTGCTTCATCTCCACTACCACCAACTGGTCCAGACCATTGCCATCTCTCACCTGGGCTCCTCCCTATAGCCTCTAAACTGGATTCTGTGCTTCCTGTTCTTGCTCCCATATGGTTTGCAAGACCATAGCTGAAGCTGTCAGTGGAAGCTTTTAACAAAAGTAAACCAGATATGTCTCTATTCTTAAAACATGACAGTGGCTTCCAGGAGCGTGGAAACCGAGTGCAGCCCTTAACTGTACCCAGCCATCCTGCATCTCAACGTGATCTCCCATTTCACCATAGCCATGGCAGATTGGCCTCCTTGGCTCTTTTCTGCTCCAAGGTCTTTGCACCTCCTGCTCGAGAGTTTCCACTCTGGCTCTGCAAGGGACTGAGTTGTTCTCATCCTTCAGGACTCTGTTTAATGCTTTCTACCAAGGGGGTCTCTTGCTGACTCATGCCTTCTCCGTACCAGCATCTTTTCCCCATCTGCCTTCCTTCATAGCACCTAATCACATCATCATCATCATCTTAACGAGTTTGCTGACTTGTGTGTTTTCCATATCCCCCACTAGCTTGAGCTCCCAAAGGGGAAAAACCATGTTCCCCCACACTGGCACATGATAGGCAGACAGTAAAATCTCTTGAGTGAAATGGTACAAACTTGTATAGCATTTATTTTTGTCAGAGCGATTGCAGTGACTTTCCTGAAGGATTGTTTGAATTTTTGTCTATCCAATCATGTGTTTTAAATTTATTAGAAACGTTTGTGGTTTAAAAGCTGCTTTTGTAACGTGTATTACCTACACTTCTCTTTTGCTTTATTCGAGATTTTTACATATGAGCTTTCTTTTGAGTGAAGAACACCTTTTTGCAACAATGGTATTCAGTAGATTTTTTAAATTACAAACTTGAAGGCAGACTTGTCAAGAAAGCCCTCATTGGCACATGTTTAAAGTTTAGAATTCCATAAAAATGATTGTATATATTAAAAAAATAAGTTTCAGCCAACCTGTTGTCCTGTGGCCTAAGGTATTAAAATCTCTGAGACATTGCAGATCATCCTTCCGTTTGTACCCACGAGCAGACATTTTTTTTGATAAAGGGTGTCTATTGTTTTGCTCCGTCTTTACTAAATATAAAAAGAAAATTGCATGCTGAATATCCCCTTAATGCTGCGATAAAGTTGCTGATTGAAATATCCACATTAGGAAATGAAAAGCAAGTGTGGGACCCTGAAGACAGCCTGCTTTCACCCACAGACGACTATTCAGCCTTCAAAGTGCGAATGGTGATGGCTATGTAGTACATTCTGTTATCCAGGACCTGGCGTGAGGGGGTGGGATCAGAACGACTGCAGTAATTTGTGAGGCTGTTTAAGGAGCAGGCTTTTCAGAGGTGAAAAGATTCTACAGAACCATATAGATTATGAAGGCACACAGGGTGTCCTGCCAGTACCTGCAGTTGGGAGTCTGAGGGCCTTTTTGTGGGCCAGGGTTTTTTGATCATGATTTTTCAGAAATAATTTGGCCTTAAAATTACACATGTATTTTTAATGAAAAAAATATTTGAAAAAAACTTGAGCAGGTATTTACAAAGCAGTTTCAAATGTCAGCATTTGCTGTAAGTGCAGTGAAGCCCGTGAAGTCTTCATTTCATCAGGCGTAGAAAAGCTGTTTTGGCAACTATGTTCCCAGCCCTGGCTTTGTAATGAAATGCATTTACTTCAGAATCCTGAGGGTGCTGAGAAAGATGTTTGTGGAATAACTCCCGAATTGATTATCTGTCTGGACCTGGAGAACATTTGTCTGCAACTTTCTTGAAACTTACACTGATTCTAGAGTTAGTTTAACTTTGGCTTTCCCTCTATTTTTTTTCATCAGCACCACTCACAGTTTCCTTTTCGGAGCACTGGCAGAGTTGCTGGACAATGCAAGGTAAGGCTTGTCCATGAACAAAGGTGATTGTGGGAACCTCATAACGTAAATAAAAGTTTGTTATATTTAAAGATGAAAAGATAATGTCATCTTTTTCCACCTGCAATATTTTGTGAATTGATTTCCTATAAAAATAATATTTTTATAGGAAAAGGAACCTGTAAAAGGAGGAGTTATTCATATTTATCCAGTTTGTATTTATGATCAAACTTGAAATTCAGGTAAATTGGATGTCTCTTTCTGTGTTAGTAATGATGTAATGGCAGATAGTCATCTGATGTTTTTCAGTTATGTGTCCGCATATGCTGTGTCCCAAGAATTTATATTTGCATTTGGGCATTTATTAAAGTGTGCGTGAAAGCAAATTTCACAGTGAAAGGGAAAATAGCTAACTGATATTGCTCTCCCACTGTGTATCAGACCCTGTTTACAGCACCCTGTGAATGGGTGTTAGCACCTTCGTCCTTACAACAACACTTTGAGGTGGTGGTAATTACCCCGGCTCTACAGATGTGGAAGTTGATGCACAGAAGTGAGATGACTTGATCAGGGCCATGCAATTGCTATTTGGCAGAGCTAGCGTTCAAATTTAGGCTGCCTCACTGCAGAACTTCTCTACCCCATTTCCTGTTTCTGACAAAGGCACTAATGTTTAAAGAAATCCCTTTAATAATTCAAGTCCCACTTAAGTGTATCTGTGGGGGCTTGTGAGTCAGTTTTTCAGCTAACTGAATATGGCACTTGATTTTTTTATATTTGTATTTTCCTATAACAGTAGATTTTACTTACCTCTTCTGCAGAAAGCAATCTACCCAGGAAGTGGTAGGGGGTTGTTAGATTAGGGATCTCAGTACAGAGACCTAAATCCCCTGCCACAGCTTGATAAATGGATTTCAGCTGTTTGCATTCGTCCCCCATTTTTGGCCTAGGAAGGGGGATGACTGAGTGTAAAGGCCTGTTGTGTTCAGGTAACCAGCCATCCAGAGCTTTCTGCACAGCAGTGCCCTGTCCTAAGTAAAAGGTTACTAGCTCATCCTTATATGAAATTCTCCATAGAACTAGTGGAATTATAGTTATCAGAAAGGGAGGGGAGAGGAGAAAAAGAATAAAGTTGATTGGTTAGTGGAGTCCTGAATTCAACTTACAGGGAGCAAACAGGGATGGGGCCAAGACTCATGAACACTCAGTTAGTCTTACTCTACAGGAGTTAAGGGCTGCAGCTATTTCCTCTGGCTCACAGCTCTGAAGTGAGGCCCCTTTTGTATCCATTAGTCCTTTGTCCTACTGAATGTGCATTTGCAGCAACTTGATATCTGTAGCTCTGAAAGAACAAATCTAAACTTCGACATTTGTTACTTTGAAAGAAAACATTTGTCTATTTTGCCAACTGGCTTCTCCTCTGAAATTGTCTCACTCATTCAACAATGGAGAGCAGGTAAAATCAGAATGTAGAACAGAACAATGGGAATGGTTTACATAGCAGAGGGTGATTGAGTGGTTGGCAAAGAAAGATTGACTTCAGACTCACGGAGTAAGAGAAATGTGATCAATAAAGCAATGCTTGTCCTGGTGGAGTGGCTCAGTTGGTTGCAGTGTCACCCAGACATCAAAAGGTTGCGGGCTTGATCCCCAGTTGGGGCATGTATGGGAGGCAACTGACAGATATTTCTCTCTCACATCTATGTTTCTCTCTCTCTCTCTCTCTCTCTCTCAAATCATTAAATACATATGCAGACCTTGACCAGGTCTGGCCTATCTCACATTTGTTTGATTCGTAATGAAAGTTCACACAGTGTTTATAAAGAAAAGGAAGAAAAGAAGGATGGTTTGCGAAGTTTAAGAAATAGGAGGTGCCATATAAAAAATCTGGGTACCCCATATCTGTTTATAGGTAGCAACCTTGAGGCCACATTCCTCAACAGGATCAAGGGGGTAGCAGGTGCTCTCTTGGGACCAGCCTGTGCCTTCAGCTTTGCCATTCCCAATGGCCCTACAGCCAGCCTGAACTCCTCAGCTCCTCTGTCTTCAGTGGACACTTGACACTGCCACCACTGCTTAGATGCTAGTATTTGACATGAAATGGAGCTGTTTTATAGATTTGTTCAAGATGCTTGATAGGTCTTATGAGGAAGGCCTTTATATAGTCCCTGTGTTATTAAAAATTATTTTATATCATTTTATTCAAGGTTTTGATGCTTTCCTGTAGTTGTCAAAATTAGAACTGGAAGATATTAAAGGAATGCTGTAAAAAGAAAAGAAAAATAAGCGGCAGTACAGGAAGGTGTAGTGAGGAGCCTCTGCCAAATCCAGCAGCAGTTCAGAGAGAAATTTACCTGGGCCAAATGACAAAATCTATGATACAAGGTCTTACTATGATGTAAAGGTGAATTACTGTTCTGTGCCTTATACCCATGGAATTTCTGTGTGAGGAAACTGTTTCTCTGAGAACTTTCAGTACAGTGGCATTTATCAAGCACCTCTTGTGTACATGGTACTTTGTAAAATGTATAATTATATAATGGAAATAACGATACCTAAGTTTCATGAGATTGTGGTAAGGATTAGAAGAGAATCCTTCTAACATTCAAAATAAAAATAGTTCAAAAACATTTCATTCACTGCTTGCCTGACACACAGAAATTGCTCAAGAAATGGTAGTGCCAACATCAGAATTTCTATGTAGGAGGAGCTTAGAAGAAGCAATTGGTTAGAGAAAGGAGCTAAGGGGCTAGCTAAATTTGAAACTGGGCATGTATAACAAGTACAGTGCACATACTCAGTTTTATATGGGGTAGTTTGGGGTTGGAATTGTTAGAAATTTGGGGAGAAACTTGGATTTTCTCATAAGACTGACTGGTTGTTTTCTATTATTCTGAGCATCCTTTTATGTCCTCTTCCACATCTAAGACATTATTGTTCATTGTTTTTCTCTTTTTTCTCATACCTTTGATATGGAAGGCAGGATCTTTTGGCTCTTTCTCCTTTCCTTTGTAAATTTTTACTTTAAAAATGCACAAATAATATCTGTGAATTATAGAAAAGTAAGAACAAAAGAAAAGAGAAACTCACCCAGTAATCTTGGGGTTCAGCCTCCTTCCTTGTAGCAGGCCAGATAGGAAGTATTTTCACCTTTGTGGGCCATGTGTTCTCTGCTGAAACTACTTAACTCTGCCATTGTCGTGTGAAGGCAGCCACAGACAATATGTCAATAAAGGGAGTGACTGTGTTCCAGTTACATACAAAAACAGTTGGTGGGCCACATTTGGCCCATTGGCTGTATAGTTTTCCTAATCTCTGATTTACAGAAAGCCACTGTTAACATTTTCATTTCTTTCATTACAGATATGCACATGTATACTATATATGTTTTTAAACATGTGTTTATACAGTACATTATTGCTTAGTAATTTGCTTTTTCTTTTTAATTTTTTAAAAGTTAAAATATGAAAATTGTTCTCTGAGTTCTTGATTTTTCTCTGATCAGTTTTTTAAAATTTCTTATCTATTTTGTTAAGCTTTTCATGAAACTACCATTAATCCCATCTATTTTTTAACCTTCTGAGTTTCAGGCTTTGTAACATTCTCAAATTATGAATGATCATAGCTCTTAATATATAAATGCAGAGTGAAACTTTTTAGTAATTAGATTGTTCCCAAAGCAATTTAAGTGGATTTCTTTATTGTTTGTCGCATGATAATAGGTTATACTTCACATAAACAATTCAAATTAATGTAATTTTGAAAAGCAGTTTCACATTGAAACAATGATATTTTTATATTGTTTCCAGAGATGCAGGGGCTGCAAGACTTGATGTGTTTTCAGGTGAGCAAATTTGCTTTCTTTTTCATCTTTCTTTCTTCTCATGGGAAAGCCTGAACTTATTTTGCTTTTATTTTATTTCGTGAAATCCATCTTTAATGTAGTCTAAGTGCTTGGTGACCACAGTGACCCTGTGGGTTGCCAGGTTGAGAAAAATACACTGCCAGAGTGACATTGTTCACCTGTTAGAGGGCCCATTTACAAAATTAGCTCTTTCAGGGTTTTGTGAAAGCATTGGTGATTTGAAACAGTCTGTCTGCTATGAGAAAACAGTTTTATTTTAAAAAGCATGTTAACCTAACAAGTATTTGTAATCAAATAGACGTCATTCTCAGCTTGTCACAGTTTTAAAATGCACAAATGAATGTACAGTGTGAATGTTTGAGTGTTGTAAAATTCACACCAAAAATGTTTTCTTCACTGACTTCATTTTTAGCCACCAAGTATTTATTGCACTTATTAGTTCATGCCATTACAATATGATGCAAATGAAGTTAGAGTAGGCCACCCAGTCCTATAGTTAGCATTACCTAGGGAAACACACTTGTTGTTAAAACTGATCCTCATCCCCAATTCTGTCAGATCGCCTGAAAATATTGGCTATTGGTCACAAGCAAGAGAATACGGTCTGTGATGTAAATCCATACCTCTATCTAAAAAGCAACTCAGTTCAATTCAATTTTCTAAGTATTTGAGATCCTATGCATTTGGGTGCTTTGGGTTCATAAGGGAGAGAGGTCTGATGAAACATTATAAGTGACAGTATTCTTTCCTTTCTACTCTCCAAGTTCTGAAAAGGGAGAAATGCAAGAGAATTTCTTTATTACTGATAAGTGCCAGGTTGGAGTATGGAGTTTAGTGTGAGAGAGCTAGCAGACTTGATTGAACCCCACCAGTGGAGTCAGGCTTCCCCTCAGAGCTGGTGTGCCAGGAGGAGAGGGAGAAGACCTCATGCACTCTATGGGCAGCTCACTCCTGAGAAGGAACATGAGACATCTGAACGGAGCCTCCCCAAATTACCAGTCAAATGAGGAGCTCACTACTGCAGGGGAAAAGTGAATCAAGGGGCTGAAAAGGACCTCTTTAGTAATACTCATTGAACTCCACTCCACACAGAAGGAAACAGCAGTAGTGGAGAAATCATCTTCCCTTATCTATCCAGTTGCATAGAGTAAAACAGAATAAGTGGTTCTTGCCCAGGCAGGACTTGGAGTACGGTGGGAACAAAGAGAAAGAATGCCTCATGTTAAAGAGCCAGGACTGGAAATATGGATGTGATTTGTGTCAAGTAGTATAGGGAGAAAAGAATATTTCTATCTGAGGCATTACTGTGAGAAGAATAGAGTTAGACTAGTCGAGAGGTTCATTCATTTATTCAGTAACAGTTATTAAGGGCCTATCATGAATGAGCCAAGTAATTATTCTAGGTGTTAGGGATAGAGTGTTGAGCCAGATGTTTGATTAAGCCAGTGTCCTCATGGAGCATGCGTTCTAAGGGAGAGAGACAGTGAAGAAATGAACAAATACATAAAGCACCAGACAGTGGTAAGTGCTGAAAGGAAAAAAAAATACAAAGCGGGATGAAAGAACAGAGAATGATGGCCAAGATGTACTGTTTTCATGGGGTGATAAGGGAAATCAGCTCAATAGATGACTTACCAGCAAAACCCTGAATGATGTGAAAGATCGAGTCATGTAGACACTTTGGGATAAAGCATTCAGGGAACAATAACTAGGTAGGTTGACTAGAGGTAAGTGTTAGCTCCAGATGGATGAGCACTTTGAATACCACACTAAGGGTTTATTTTTTTCTTTCAGCAAACAGTGGACCACTGAATAACTTTGAGCAATGTCATTTGACAAATTAGAAATGTTCTTTTGTCCTTTCTTAAAGATACTCCAGCAACAGCTTATAGGACAGCCTGTAGAGGTGTGAAAGAATAGATAGCTGGGAGGTGGGGCCATGGAAATGACCTAAGTAAGGTTTCAGGAGGATTTGAACTAGGGCAGTGGTCCTATAACAGTGGAGAAGGAAATGAGAATTAAACTGTGCTTCCTTCAGAGCACGTTACTGAGGAATTATCTGGAATCACAAAGTACAACAAATGTAATCAGAATTCACACATTATCTTTTTTGTGTGTTTGTGACAGGACACCAAGAAGGGCATGACAGTATTTATCTCACTTTCTCTAGCACTTGTTATGGTCATAACAGATGAAAAAGAATCTTTGCAATTTGCATTCAGAGTGGCACTTTTTTCTATAGGTTACATGCGTTTTGTGAGAAACTGAACTTGTGGTTTTTAGTTTTAAACTTTGTATTTATATTATAAAGTTTTTTTTAATTGAAGCAAACCATAACATGGCCATAAACCTAGCAAATTAATTTTTCCAGACAAACAAACAAACAAACAAACAAACCAGAGCTAACGGTTATGCACCAATGGATAGAATTGGTGTGGAGTTGCATAATTAATCTAGGTATTAGGCTAATTTTCAAATTATTTACTGAGTCCTCTGATTTACTCTCCAGTCTAAGATTTTATTCAAGTAACTTCAGGGCTATACAATTCAAACTTAGTATACATTTAGCCATGGGTGTTTTATCTTTGTGTGTGTATTAGTTCTAGTAAACATGGTTATGCATTCGGTACATTTTTTTAGTGCTTATCAAGTGGCCGGCTGAGTGCTGAGTACTCATTGTGCTTACTTTTAAGGAATTGGCATCCTAGCATAGGGGTGCATGGAAAATATGGTATGTATCTACATTTTTATGAGTACAGGATCCATAGCTTTTATCATATCTCTGAGACAGCTTTATTATAGAGAGTGTAAGAACTACTAGTCTAAAAGAGAAATAGATATGTGAATAGGTATTTAAATATACTGTGAAAGATAAGGAAGACAAATTATAAAGAAAACACTCATTATAGGCACCTGGTGACGTGGAAGGATTAGGAAAGCTCCCTAGAAGAAATCTTAAATGAACTAAAGACCTAAATAGGCCTTGGACTGGTGAGTCAAGGATGGGAAGGGCAGAGGCTTCAATCTGGAGAGACTCTAGAACACTGACATACTTGTAAAATGTTTGAGATGTTCAAGATTTAGTTTAAGGGTATTATTTGTGTGGAAGTAGAAGATTGCAGTATGGATGGGGAGGGGATGACTAGAGATGAGCTTGGAGAGTATATTAGCCAGAGATCTTCAGAGAAACAGAGCTAGTAGGAGATAGAAACTCCTTCCTCTCTAAATATAATATGTATATATAATACACTTGTATATATATGTATATTATATATACATATGTATTATAGATGATATAGTTTACATCATATATTTATAGAATTATTATATATACATATATGTATTATATATACATATACATATATTATATATACATGTATATAGGATATATATCATATATATATATATATATATATATATATATATATATATATATATATATATTTGGCTTAGATAATTGTGGGGCCAGCAAGTCTGAAATCTGTAGGGCAGTTGGCAGGCTGGATATGCAGATATTGCTGTCTGGGGTTCTGAATCTTCAGGGAAGACTAGCAACCTGAAACTCACGTAGAGTTTCTGTGTCAGATTTTTGAGACATAAAATTGCTGTCCTTTGCAAAATCTTAGTCTTTGCTTTTAAGACCTTCAGTTGATTGGATGATGCCCACCCACATTGTCAAGCGCAATCTGCTTTAGTTATAGTAAACTGATGGTAAATGTTAATTATATCCACAAATACTTGCATAGCAACATCTAGTCTAGTGTTTGACCAAATAACTGGGCACCAAGCTTAGCCAGGTTGACTCATAAAATTAACCATCCTAGAGAGGTAGGCCAGGTCGTAAAAAGTAAGTGAGATTTGTTAACCGGTTTGGATTTTATACTATGGGCAGTGGGGAGCAGGACAGTAGTGCAATACACAGCTGGCTGTGGGCTGTGTGCATGCTCTGATTTTATGGGGAGCTAAGAGTTAGGGAGATGTTGCTGTAATCCAGAGAGGAGATGATGGTTTCTTGAACTAAAACAATGTAGTGGGGATGGAGAAAGTGGTCAAATCTGAGAGACATTAGGGAGGTGGCATTGAGAGAACTTGTCTGTAAATGGGGTGAGGAGATGGTGAACTTGCTCATCCAGAGGTTTTGACTCCGGCAGCTGAAGCGTAATGTCAGGGTGGTGCCATACATGGAACTCAAAGCACTAGGAGGAGGAGTAAATCAGATGACATGGTGTGGTTTGTTTTGGACATGCATATTAAGAGGTAATGAAAATCTATCTGAAATACATAGTTATAAGGACAATTGAAATAAGGCCAAGCCTTAGGGTGGACAATAGGGTAATATTAAAACTTAAGACTGTGGTCATCTGAATACCTCATTGGGATTTATAGAAAAAGTAAGTACTGTATGTGCATCTTGGGAATTCTGGGTCTTTACCACTTATATGCTGAAAAAATGCCCTTTGTGCAGCCTTCTTTCATGAGAACTGTTTATCAAGAGCTGCAAAATCAATTCTTACAACTGTACAGAGCTGCCTGATGCTCGAATCAGGTGGCTGCCAGTTCTTATAAACATTAGGATAATTGGAAATGGGGCTTTTATTCTTGAACTCTATCCAAGATCAATTCATTGAGAATATTTCCAGATGATTCCAATGTGCAGTCAAGATCAAGAATTACTGCATTTTGCAAAGAACTCAACAAGAGTTGAACTCCCCTAGTTGAATGGCAGAGAAATGCCAGTGTTAGTAAGAGGGAGTGCTGAACAGAGCAAATGTTTAAAGGGCATTGGAGGGGAGAAAGATTCTGACATAGAAGTTGAGGTAAGCCAACCAGAGGACCACGCAGAGAGAAAAACCTGGGAAACTGAGATGGTAGGGAAGACCCAAAGGGTTTGAAGACAGGAAGTGAGTTAGAGAATGTAGGGGGTATAAATGGGCATTTGACCACAAAATTATGAAGCCAGAAATCTTAGGTATGTTTAT